CGCCAGGCGCTTCTGCTGCAGGCCCTCCAGGACGGCCGTCCGCTTCACCGGGTCTCTGCAGCCATTGGTGTTGAGCGAGGCAATTGTGGTAACCGCCATGAACAGAAGGAGGAAGGGTAGGCAGGGTACCAGTGGAAGAGAAGGTGACAGATGCCGGGCAGAAAAACCGCGGAGACAGGGGAAAGGCCTAGCGTTGCCCTGCCCTATTCCGCAGGCCCGCCTCGGCCCCCCACCTGGGTCACCAGCTTCTCAAGCCGGAAGGCATGCTGATGCGTGCCTGGGTCTCGGCGCATAAACCTCGCCGCGTCGCTCGTGGCACGGGCAAATTGCGCAGGGTCCGGGCACCATTGCCAGATACTCTCGGGACAAGGTGGGTAGAGGCAAGGTTTTTGGGGGGGTGGGGACAGGAAAAGGGGGGCACGGAGTGCAGGGAACGCACAAAAGGCACCTGAGCTGCAGGAGCTCAGAAGGGCTTCACCTGTCGGCGGTCATCTTGGGGAAAAAAAAAAGAAAGAAAAAGAAAGAAACAGCCCCAGCAGTAGCCCATAACCCTGACAGCATAGCCAATTGTTTCTCCCACAGTGCAACAGAGAAGCACACATACAAGGTCTTGCTACATGTTGAGACAGCATCTTGCCCATCTGGTCACTATTTCCTGGGTCAAATTCTGCTCCAATCTAAATCAGAGGCAGTCCTAGTGGAATCCATATAGTCAACCACATTTTAAGTGGAACAGAGCTGTGGCCCCTCCCCACCATGTCTAACAACCACCATAGGACATTGCAATATCCTGGATAAGGAATCAAAATTCTATTCCAGTCAAACAGTCCAGGACTTTCTAACAGGCCAAAGATTTATTAGGATCCAACTCAATAGGCTCCTGGTATACTACTGTGACAATTCCCAGTTACAGAAAATGAACAAGGCTCCAGTAAGTAAGAATGAGTACAGCTCTCACCTGCTAGAGACCCTGCTAGCCCTGCATAATACTCCAGGGACTGCCAAGATATATCAACATCCACTCTGGCTTCAAAGATGGATTTCCCATTGTTGATGGTCTCCATCTTGGCAATTTCATCCCTCTGTTCCTGTAGGTAGAGCAAATAAATAACATATCAGAGATACAGTGATGCCACCAACACCATGCTAGCTGCTTTTCAAAACGGATGAAGACAATCCATGCCATCAATAACGCCTATTCTCATCTATAACATAAGCTTTCTAACCAGAAAACTGCTGATGTCTGCCAACATTTTATTCTTGCTTCACACTTTTGTTAAAATTTGTCTATTATTAAAATTAGTTATAAGTGAGAGCAAGTATTAATGAGGTTCAGAGAACTGGACAGGGAGAAATTGCAAACAGTAAGGACATAACAAACCCAGAAGGGACCTAAAGTAACTAGAAATATGGGAAAAAAATAATTAGGTTCAGCTGGAGCATCTCCTTATCAGCCTGCCCTGAAAACAGAATTATGATTTTAGTACAAGGGTAAGATAACTGGACTATGAAGTGGAAAAGAAAGTACCTCTGAAATCCAGAAGAAACAAGCCTAAAAAACAAATCAAATAAGATTTTTCTGTTCCAAAGACCTCATGTTTTCCCCAGTATGAGTCACAGTCCAATCAAAGGTTACTGTACTCCACAGCTATGAAGCATGTGTAGGGCAATTATGCAATTTAAATTTGAAGTTGTGTAGTTATGTAACTTAAGTTTCAAAATAACACGGAGGCCAGCCTCATTTCTTGGCCTGAGGAAACTAGAAATTTGTGACCCGTGACGTTTCACTTTCAGTAAGCTTACGTGGATTGTTACGCTGGCAAGCCAAATTAAACTTGTTATACGGATATATGTCAAAGCAGCAGTACAGAGATAACCAACATGACCCCAAAACCTAAACTCAGGGCCTGGACACAAAACATGTTAACATTAATTTAACTTATGCCAGTTTGGTAAGCCAATGTAAATGACATCAATGTGCAGAGCAGACAGACAACTAGCTCACCCCAGGAAGTGCTAGTACAGCAACCTTCCCACTATGTGGTTGGAAAGGCAGTAATAACAGCTAAAACACCTCTTCTCCAAGTAGAAGATGACTTCCAACACCTACAATGATATAAGTTACAAGGGATAGAGACATTAAAAAAAAAAAAGGAGGGGAGGGGAGGGACTCTAAACAAATCAGGTTTGAACCCATATCACTGGAAGGAACAAGGCTGCAGCCACTTATATGATAAGACTGGATGCCCTTCCTGAGCAATTCCAGGTTCAAAGATGACTTTAAAATGGTATTATGCATGGAGTATTAAAGAAAGATCGCCATTGGACTCTGCAAATATACTGTGCAGCATTCAAGGAGTAGCTCAGAAAAATATTCAAGGACAAGACCATACCATTCCAACAGACAAGAAGCTAGATCCACTACATACCCGGATAATCCTGGCCGCCTCCAGCAGTACTCTGCTCCGTTCCATGCCTGATTTCTGACTCCATATTTTAAAGGCAGCTTTTGCGCTCTGCACAGCCAAATCTACCTCCTTCTCTCCAGAGCAGAGAAACTTACCTATCACACGACCTAAGAGAAAATGGAGAAATTCATGGGGAGGGGAGTTTCTCTTGCTAAGATTACTTACCAGGACATCTGCCAAACAGCTTCATTATCAGCAAGTATTTAAAAGCATAAACAAGCTTCATACTTTAGAGCCTTTGAGAGTTCATTTTGTCTCTGACTACTTCTGCATATACCTTTATGATTTGAGAAACAGAGACCATTATGCCATAGCGTAACCTCCTAAATAAAATAAGACCACAGAACTTCACCCAAACATTCAGGCATCAGGCACAGCAAACCGTGGTTGAACTACAGCCTCCCTTTCAGAATGGCATCCAATCTCAATTCAGAGATTCTGAGCAATGAAGAATCCAATCTATCCTAGCAGCGTTAATTAACCGTGTTATTAAGTTTGCTAAGTTTCAAGCATAGCAGCGTTAATTAACCGTGTTATTAAGTTTTTTAAGTTTCAAGCCCCAGCCACAGGATCTTATTAAAAATATTTATCTGCAAATTATCTTCCTCATACTGATTCTAAAGGATTGCAGGTAACTTTTTTGGTTGCTGTTTTGGAGATGCTAGAGTGATTTAAATGGTGGGATTATAAAAAGTTATAGCTTTTTATAAACCTTTTGAAACAGTCCCATACCAACACCAGAGACTGGTACTGGCAGTGACTTTTGCTGTTCCCAAACCCAGATCTGACAAAGTTCCCCGCCGATTTGCTTTCACAGTCGTTCGGCTTACAAGAATTTTGCTGGAGAGGTTGGTACTACAAGGATTGCACCTACCATTCTTGATCGTGATCTCAAGTGCTAGCTATTAAAAACATTGCATTGTCAGACATGCTGCCTCTGCACGCAGCCATTCTGCTATTAGTGCAAAGTGTTATCTGCTAAGGTCATACATGGCTAGGGATGTCAAGTGCCCAAGTTGAGCTACCTTTGAGAGATGAGAGCCTGTTCCAGGCCCTGGGGACGCTAAAGAAGTTTTTCTTCTACAACCCCATATTTCCAAAATTAATCAACAACTCAAAGGGGTCTGCACCTCACTGTCAACTCTGCCAGGGGTCTGCAAATGGAAAGCGGGTGAAAACCGGCTCTCAAGCCTTTCCGACCGCGGGCACCCTTCGCGAGAGGGAAGAGCCCCCCGGGGAGGCTGCAGCTCTTCGCCTGGGCTTTGGAGCGCCCCGCCGCCGGCGGCGCGGG